GCTTAGTGCACTTAAGAAAAAGGGTGGCCAGTATGGCTAGGAAAAAGTAATGGAGGGAGCAAATTCAAAGACATGAGAGTAGAGATCAGATCATGTGTTCCTGTAGACCAATATACAGAAGTTGGCTCTTACCATTGGTCAAACCAGAACTTATTAAGATTTTTAGACAAAGAAGTGAAGTTACCTTCTTTTTTAAAAAATAAACTTTATTTGAGGATCATTCTGAATTTACAGCAAAGTTACAGACTTCCCATATACCTCTCATCCAATTTCCCTCATGTACCTGCTTATATTACCATGGTAAATTAATCAAAACTAGAAAACACTGATACATTGCTATTAACTAAACTCCAGACTTTATTTGGATTTCAAGAGTTTTTTCATTAATGTTCTTTTTCTGTTAATCTGGGGTAACACATTATCTTTTAGAGTCCTATACCTTAATGCAATTTTTAACATATGTAAAAAGTAACAYTCTGGCTAGTCTATGAGAATAACCTGTATGACTGAATAAAGCAGCATTACTATAACCCAAGAAAGAAATGTTAGTTGCTAATGACAGAAGTTCAAGCTCAAAATGATCAGGGCACTAATGACTGCAATAGTAGTAAACTATTGAATTCATGATATATTTTGTAAAGGAAGCCAAAAAATTTGCAGATGGATTTTGATAGAATATAAAAGAAAGGCGTCAAGGATAACTTCAGAGCAACTGATTGTATAGGCATGTCATCAACTGAAGTGAGAAAGAGGACAAATTTGGAGAGAAGAGTTCATTTGGGACATCTAAAGTCTTATAAATATACAAATAGTGATGCAGAGGTAGACAACTGGACTGGATATATAATTCTAGAGTTCAGAAAGAGAAGGAACTAAGGATATGAATATGGAAGCCTTGGATAAACAGATGATTAAGTCAAAAGACTTGATATCATTATCACAAGGAAGGAAAGAGGAAAATAAAGGAACCAAAGATTGAGCTCCAGAACACTTCAACATAAAATGTATGGACAAATAGAAAATTCAGCATAGCAGACAGAAAGAGCAACCAAAGAGGTAGGAAAAAAAAAAAGAAAGAAAGAAAGAAATACGGTCCTGGAAATCAAGTAAAGTAAGCATATCATGGAGGAGCAATAAACTGTGTCCAAAGTTACTGACAAGTCAATTATGGTGATGACCGAGAATGACCAACACCCAGATCACTGGTGACACTAATAAGAGAATCTTGTGGCAGCATAAGAAAAGAACAGAAAAAGAGAAATTGGGACATGAAGCATAAAGAACGCTTTCAAGAATTTTTGTTATAGAAAAGATCAAACAAATGTGTAGAATATAGAAAGATAATAAAAGAAGCATATCTTCCCCGACACCCTTCTTATTACTAGGAATTGAACCCAGGGCTTCCTGCATATCAGGCAAGTGCTCCAGCACTAAGCTACATACCTATCTTTTTTTTTTCCTATTTAATTTTGAGATAGGGTATTGCTAAGCAACTTGTGAAACTCCTGCCTTAACCTCCAACTAGCCTGAACTACAACTGTACCTCAACAAGCCTTGCAAGGCAAAAACAGCATTTCTTTTTGTTTAATTATTTTTTCTAGTTGTAGATGGACACAATATCTTTGTTTTTATTTATTTATTTTTAATGTGGTGCTGAGGATTGAACTCAGTGCCTCATGCATGCAAGGCAAGCACTGAACCAATGAGCTACAACCCCAGCCCCCTCCAAAAGCATTTCTTAAGGTAAAAAAAAATAAATAAGTGCAGAAAAAAAACAAAACTTTTATAGGCATTTTTACAGGTGGTAATCCAAGAGCCATGGGGGGAAAGGATGAAAAGGGGTTGTGGGACTCAAAGACAAACACTCCAACACAAAGAACCTCAACTTAGGCTATGGAGTCTACTGGAGGATCAGAGAAAGCAAACAAATCACTGTCACTTAATATATGTGAATATTAAGAAAGAAAAAAGATAACTAATGTAAAAGGAAAGTACTAACACTACTATTAATACAAGATACAAGAACTGTGATTATGGTTCAGTGTTAGAACACTCACCTAGCATGTGTGAGACACTRGATTTGAACCTCAGCATCACATAAATAAATAATTAAATAAAGGTATTGTGTCCATCTACAACTAAAAATATTTTTAAAAATACAAGATACAAAATAAAAAGAAAATAGGTTAACAAAGTGGTCTAGTGGTATAAAAGCTATAACAATTTAATTCAAAGCCCTTTTATTATGTGCCTAACATAATAATAATGCAAATCAATCATCTTCCAAACTTATTCCTCAACTCAGGGGGCTTTTATTTCTGTCAAGAACTAAGCCAGTCACACAATAATAACTAACACTTAGGCCTGGGCATGGAGCTCAGAGGTAGAGAGCTTCCCTAGCATGAGCAAGATCCAGAGTTCCAACCTCGGTAGTGTAAAAATAATAAATAAAAGGATAACCAAAATGTCCTGTGTGTTTACTGTTTGACAAATATTTGGCTAGATTATTTCATTTGTATTAACTCATTTAATCCTCACAACTCTGAGGAAGCATGTGACCATCTCCATAGAAAAATTAAAATATGTACTATTTTTACATACAATCCTGGGGAAACCATGAAACCAAAGTTGAATATATACTCTTCGAGATGCAGGAGAGAGGATTTTTGAGCAGGGGAATGACAAAGTCAAATTTTCTTCGTAGTAAGAAAATGATCCAAGATGATTTGCAAAGAGAATCCACAGCAGTACTACCAAAAAGATTAGTTTGGGGCAACTGATATAAGCTAGTACTTGAAATAATTTATCAATAATGAAAACCAAAAGCAGGGTGTCGATTAACTTAATGATCATGCAGCTCAATTCCCGCCTCCCAAAAGATACCCTCACATCAGATTAACTTTGTCGTATTCTTACATGAATACGATAAACATTATACACATGGTCAGTCTCATCCATTGGCAATTCTGATCCTCTATGAATAACTGAAAAATGATGTTCTCTATTATTTTGAAGCTGAGGTACATAAGAATCTATTGCCTAAAATTAATAGTAATCCATAAATATAACAAATCAATTGCAATCTCCAACAACTTCAGCTTCCTGGTGCTCTTTACAGGAAGCCTAAAGCATACAGCTTCATGCAGAATTATCACTCTGAAGTGCCAAATGATCAAGATGATATTCACATGAAAGCAAAAGCAGTTGTAACATCTACAGACACATTTATTATTCTGGAAACCAAACTTGACCAGTTGCACAACATAATTTCCATAAATAAACTAAGTTTGTTTAGTTTGAATGGTAAGTCATAATGTAAGGCAATTCCAAGTGCAAGCATTAAGACTTGCTTTTTTAAAAAATATTTTTAGTTGTAGTTAGACACCATACCTTTAGTTTATTAATTTATTTTTATGTGGTGCTGAAGATGAACCCAGTGCACTCTATCACTGAGCCACAATCCTAGCCCCAAGACTTGCTTTTGATTAGTGGAAGGTACCATGAATTTTTATAATTTCTTATTCCCATCTTCAACATCCCCAGTAAATTCTTTAAAGGAACAGACCATCTTTATTTTTCTGCTGCAATCTCATGGTACTATGAATAAAGAAGATATTCAGTAAATGTCTATTAATTTAAATATTTTACCAATTCTTTTGACTATTCCATATAATGGATTTTAAAATCAAATTAGTCGTGGTTTAACCCCCCCTCAAAAAAAAACCCTTTGTGTATAGTAGCAAACAATAGTTATCAAAGAAGTAATCACATACAACAAAAAGGCAAATCTTCTAAACACGGTGTTGCCCTAAATACTAAAGAATCTTTTTATAGTTTGGCTGAATACTGTTCATTAATCAACACCTCAGGAGCTTCTTTACTCTTCATATTTCACCTTCTGAGTACACAAAGAACTGATAACATTCTGAAAAGACCCCTATGGTGTCTAAAAAAAATTAACCACGCATTTGGAAACTAAGAATTGCAATAATTTTCTGATACACTAAGGGGATAAAGAGTGGAAAAACTCTGCCCCTCTGACTTCTGAAAAATTCCAAGAACAATGTAAACTTGAACATATCAAAGTACCTGCTTCTCCATCTATAAAACACAGAAAACAAATGTGGGCAAAATAAAGCCTCATCTAATGGAATTATCAAAATCTGAGGAAACTCAATAACACCATTATTGATAAAAACAAAGTTGGTATGTAATTTATTTTGCTGGTTTACCATTTCTCTACAATACCTATCAATTACTGCACTCAGAAAAGTGCAATTCCTTACCAAGGTTACTACAGAAAAGTTCTTTCCTAAGAACATTTAGGACCTACTGACAGTTTACAAAAAAAAAAAAAGGTTTGGAAACAAAAAAGGCAAGTGTTAGGGAAAATATAAACCTACTGAAAACAATCATCCGGATTCAAGTGCCCCCCTCATCCCACAACTAATACAGAGCATTTCAAAAGCACATTGCATATCTAAAAATCACTCAGAGAAAAAGGGAAAAAATTAAAAGGGGACTCCACTGCGACAAGCCTTGTAGATGAGGCCTGGAGCCCTGGGATCCCCCAAAACCGACAAGCATTAGGTACAGGAGTTCACACAATGAAGAAGATTCGAGGAGGGGAAGGTTCGCGCAGTGTGTACTTTTAGAGGTAAATGTAAGATATTTTTTAAAAAAATAAAGAAAAAAGTAGGAAAGAAAAAAAAGAAAAACAGAACAGAATATTACTTATTATTCAAAAGGCCGCGGCCACTTCCGGACCCTACCTCTGAGTTACTGCACTTCCGGGTCCTCTAAGAAACGCCGGCTCCCACTGATAAGCCCCACAGCCAATGAGAGTCTCAGCTACTTCCGCAGCGCCTCATGATGTATCTAAGTCCTGCCTTTTCCGGTTAGGAGAAGCCTATCCTAGCGTCGGTCTCGAGAAGCTGCGGAGGAGGTGCCGTGATAGGCCCAACCGGACTGCTGAAGAGATCAAGAAGGGCATGTGGGGCGTGCACGCCTCTTCCGCCTTGGGCCCGGAAGGGTGATGTGGCTGGGGCATCGCTGGCCTCACTATGGTAAGAATCGGGGCTACCGGGTTGCGACTTAGCTTCCAGCAGGGTCTGTTCCCCGCAGTAGRGCAGCGGGTTTGTGCGGGCGCCCTGGGTGCACTAGCCAAAGTGTTCTGTCACTAACTTGATTTTCCCGGGACTCGGAGGGTGCACAGGCCATGGAGCCATGTGCCCCTGCACGTCCAACCAGGGAGAATCCGGGCTGACCTTCCAAAGAGGACCCCGTAGTCTCGGATCCCAGCCCTTCTACCTGAGGCTCTCCCTTCCTTGTTTAGGGGAAATGCGCTGTTTTGACTTAACCGGTCGGTTATATAGGTTATCTGTGGACATTGACTCTTTGGAATTTTAGAGCTTCTCTAGCATCTGCTTTTTTTTTTTTTTTTTTAATTCTTTTTTGTGTTTCCTTAGCTCTCCCTACGTGCTTGACCCGGGTTTTATTTGTTCTTTTGTTTGTTTGTTTGTTTTTCCTACATCAGACTCGACATCTTTAATTTCACCTGTTGAACCAGTGGCCTTTTGTACCCTTTCCAAATTATTTTCCATAATCCTAAAGATGCTTCATTCCAAACTGTAGGTTTTAATAATTGAAGTTCAGAGCAAAAGTTGGTTTCTCGTCTAATAGCCTAATGTACTTCTCATAGTTATGTTTGACCTCAGCTTCCATCCCTGCCTGCATTACTTTCTTAAATGTATTTTATTTTGTTTTATTGTAGATTCCTTTGGTAATTTAGGTCTATTAAAGGAGATAAGTTTATTAGTACATTAATCCTTCTCTGAGTATGGATTTTATTTCCTCTTTCAGCTTCTTTTCCCACCTATTACAATATACAATACATTTTCTTTTAAGGGTATCATTTAGCTTATTTAATTTAGCAAAAACTGTGTTCATTTTTCAATTTAAAAGAATTAGGAAGACTCATTCTTGCATATCTTCCTAGAAGCTGAAATTGAATTGTTTTACTCATAATACAAGTCAAAGATACATCCTTCTTTTCAATATCTATCAATACACCAGCTAAAAGCAAGATGTAGTTTAAGATCAGCAGTAAACTATGTTGCTGTTCTTCCTTTTCCAAAAATAACAATAATAGCTTTCATTCATTAGTACTTACTATGTACTAGGTTCTATTCAAAAAATAATTTATATGCATTGTTTTATTTAATGCTCACAACTTCTGAGTAGATGTTTATGGATAAAGGAAATGAGGTATAAGAAAGTACCTGGAATCATGCACCTAGCAAATAGTGAAGCCAGAACCCAAATATTTTAATATGTAGGTGCTGGAAATCTTCATGCTATGAATAGAAACAATAGAATTGTGGATAAAATAAGTCTAGTGATTTGTTGCTCTCAAACATACAATTGTCCCTTATTATCCATGGGAGATTGATTCTAGGACCCTCCGAAGTATACTAAAATCTCAGATACTCACCCCCCTATATAAAATGGTATATTTGCATACAGTACGGACACATCCTMCCATGTACTTTAAATTCTCTGTGTATTACTTTTTGTACCCAATATGATAAATGCTGGGTAAATAGTTGTTATACTGTATTGTTTAGGGAATGATGACAAGAAACGTGTTCAGTACAGATGTGCAATTTTTTCCCAGTATTTTCAGTCWATGCTTGGTTGAATCCATGGATTTGGAACCCACAGATACAGAGGACCAACTATAGGTATTCTTGTATGTGTAGAATGGCTGTGAAAGGATACACAGGTAACTGGTAATATTGAAGAGGAACTTGAACTGAGACAGGGATAACCTGCTGGATATTCCCTGAAACTGTTAAAATTTAAAACAAAAAAAAAACTCATACATAGATTTTAATTCTTTTAAGAAAAAAGAAGCTTGTGCAGTTTTATATTAAAAGTACTACTGGCCATATTTTATAAATGAAAAAAGAAATAGATAAAAATATTAAGTCTCTTGTCTAAGATCACAGCACATGTAAATAGTGAAGCTAAGATTTAAACTTAATGACTCCTTTTGTCACCAAACCTGTGCTGTGTGTACTACAAAATAATGCCATAAATTCTGCTAAAAATTTAAAAGAAAAAGCAAGGTTTGAATAGGTTGGGGGGATTAAGGTAATAATTCTGTTGCCACTATTCCTTTTGCATCATCTGTCAATGTGGCATCACAGTAGAAAGGCAAATGTCTTCATGTATTATTAAAATAGTTTTGACCCCATAAACCCTTGAAAGAGTTATATGAACTTCACTGTGAGAACCACAGCATTAGACTAATAGAAATCTAATGGAATGTAAGTCCTCTTACCAAAGTGCTTTTAACTTTGCAAGTAAAAACTTTCAGGGAGTTTTGAGAAACAACAGATTCCAGACCAGATAATAACATATTTGGGGACATTGTTTTTAAAAGCCCTAGATGATTATGATGAGCAGCCAGGGTTTATACCATGTCTGACCTCCAGTTTTCAGAAGCATTACCATTTTATCAGTCTTTGTCTTTTCCTGATTCCATGGTCAAATTCTCCCTTATAGCATGATTTACTCTTGGTCTTTCAGAATAACCTTTTGTCACATCATTTTATCAGACTCATATGAAGCATTTATTCATTCTTTTTCACTCTGTTCTTCATAGTTTTGCATATTTCTTCTCTTAAAAATTTTTGACATCCTCATAGTCTTATATTTAAATCTGAGTTGTATATAAAATACCTTCAAAACTGAGCAGCACAAATAGTAAATTCACTGTAGATATCTTTCAGTGAAGATTACTATAAATGGCCACAGGTTTTGCTGGTGGAGAACAGTTGAAGTATATCTACAACAGACTGCAGCTTTACTCATAACCATGGGAGGTTTTTAAATACACTCCTAAATAGAGGAGAGAAGGGTATAGCTTTTTGAAACAAGACTGCTAAGGTCAAATTAACATTTAACCCAGAACCCTCACTTTACAAATGAAACTGATAAGTAAAAATATAAATTTGTCCAAGGACAAATTTTATATATTAAATAATGCAAATGTTTAGTAGCCACTGGTGCTAAGGAAACAGGTTATGTACATTCATTTGAGGCTAATGTTTATCCTGCATTTTCGTGTTTTCCATTTTAAGAGACAGTAGTGGCATATATGAGTTTACAAGTAGAAACTAATTGGAAAATGCTAACCTGACCTATATTTGTAAATGATAAATACTGACCCACTTTTCTAGTAGTGTATAATTTTTATCATAATTAGGTCAGGAATGTCATTTCTTTGTTCCTCTGTACCAYCAGAGAGGAATAAAATAGTTTGAAATAAAAGAAGTAGATATTAATAAAAGTTTCTAAATTCTGTGTTTAGTGTTCAATGTTTGTTTTAAAAGGTCTTGATTTATGCTAGAGGAATTATGTCAGTAAAACTTATTTCTGGGCTGGGATTGTGGCTCAGTGGTAGAGTGCTCACCTAGCATGCCTGAGGCGCTGGGTTCAATCCTCMGCACCACATAAAAATAAAGATGTGTCCATCTAAAACTAAGAAATAAATATTTTTTAAAAACTTATTTTCAGCATAGGAAACAGTCAACATAATTCTAAAGTTAAATACACTACATTGAGCCAGAGTGATTGAATACTAATGAAAAAACTATAGRTTCAAAGTTCTTTCTATAGATTAAGTATGGTTAATAGCCAATCATTGAGCATTGCCTAAGCAAAGCGTGTTTAGCATACTGATGTGTATAATTCTGCTTTTCTCATGGGGTATTTTTGTACCTTTGTATTGATTGGCTCTTTCCCCATTAAAAATTTTTTTAACAAATATGTTGAGCTTTTCAACTTGGTCATCTAAAAAAAAAAAATCTCCTATATAGAATTTTCATTCTTACATTTGAACTCAATGAATATAATTTTAGCATTCAAGAATGACTCAAGAAATTTTATCTTAATAGATAAAATATGATAACAAATTGAATCTGAAGAAAATATTCCTAATTTTTAAATGGACTTAAGAATATAGAATTGTAAAAGGTTTAGCAACATTGCAAGTAATTTCATGTTCAAAACATTAGTGTTGCATTAAGCAGTGTCCATCTATTCATTAATAAATTATTGCATATAATGATAGGTAAGCAATGAAAAATCTCAAATTATTGTATTTCTTTCAAAATACCTTACTAATTATTTATTTCATAATGCTTATACAAAGTAATTGGGTCAACAAGTTTATTTTTTCTGGTTTGGATAAATTAACTTGGTGCCGTAGCACTAATTACTTTAAAGCTTATCAGAAGTTCTGATTAGTTATAAGCAGGAGGATAGCTCTGCAATACAGAGTAATAATAGAAGAGATTTGGAAGAAAAATTGAGGGCCTACAATGCCATTTTAGAAGAATCAGCACAAGTCAAGGCAGGGTAGGTACAATTCACAACCTCAAGGGTTACTATTCTGATTTTATTGGAAATTGTATACCAGAGGATGCCATATGCAGCACAATTCCAAGGAAATGTCATTGATATCCTTTATAGAAAAGAAATATTTATAGGTATAGTACACACAATGTCTCCCCACCCCAAACCAATGAATGTTATCATACATCGCAAGAGTGACTTTGCCTATATGATTTAAGTTCAGAATTTTAATATGTAGACATTATTCTAGATTATAAGGAGAAGGGGCAGTTTAATTACAAGGATACTTAAGAGAGAATGGGGGGGTCTCTAGAAGCAAGGAAACAGGTTCTTTCCCAGAGTCTCTAGAAGGAACTACCAAACCCATTTTTGATATAGAGAGGAAAGTTTTACTTTCCAACATCTTCTACAGTGCATATAAAATATTTGAGCTATCTAAATTCTGTCACAAAAACTCTTAAATTCAGTAAAACTACAAATATGTGTGTGTATGTACAACCTTTATAGAATGCAAACTAGAGAACCCATCAAAATGCAAAATGTGACTTGTTTTCCATCCAGCAATTCTAGTACTCCCTTCCCCATCTAACAACCTCAAAACACCTTTACTGGTTAGAGAATAGATTAATTTGGCTATCAATAA